AGCGTTTGCTCAGGAAGGTCGCTGTACAAGAAGAAGATCTGCAACTAGCCTTACTCGAATGGCGAAATACGCCTCAAAGTGACGGGCTCGCGCCGATAGAAAAGCTTTTGTGCAAACGTACGCGATCCTTACTACCTAGCCGTCCGGTCGACCTGCAACAGCGAGTGCCAAAAAACGTAACGAATTTGATCGCGCGGCGTCGCATCGCCCAAAGCAACACACGACAACACGCTCGCTCTTTGCCTAATTTGCGGATAGGCGACAAGGTTCGCGTCGAACCATCCAACTTCAAGAGGTCTGGCTTACGGGCGAATTTCCCGGCGGCTGGGCAAAAGACGCTACCAGGTATTCACCGAGCTAGGACGACACATCGAACGCAATCGGCGATTCTTGAAGAAAGTTCCGAAAAACCCCACCGAGAAAGGGCCACAGCATCCTACCAGCGAAAGTGCGCCGGTAGGTCCAGTCTGGCAAGGCGTATTGGGTCCGACTATCTGGAGCTTCTCGCCATCGAAGCCTTCTAATGATCGTGAGAAAGACAACCCGACAAAATCCAGAAAACGCAAGAATGAAGATCACGAAGTCACGACCTCAAAAAATTCCAGGAGCTGCGAAGCGAATCAGACTCGCAGCGGCCGAAAAGTGAAAGCACCCGACAGATTCAGCTCCTGAGGAAATGGTGATAGAGAAACGATAACGAGATAGAAATAATACTGTGTAAATAGCAGGCGATAATTTAAAGCCTCTGGCGTCGAGTCCGGGCGGGAGCCGTGCCAAAGTGCCGTCATGCGATGTCATTCTGGTTTGGTTTATTGGTCGACATTGTAGGGGGCATGTAGGTAGAGCTGTCGCTAGAGGGCGTCGACAGAGTGCGCGATGTAAACACAGCAAAAGCAGAAGACAGTCAGTCGGAAATACGTAGCGAGACAATAAAGGACGAATGCTTTGTGAAATCGTAAAGTGAAGAAACTTGTGTTTGATAACCGCTCGCCAACAGTCCGCCTCCTAGAATCCCTTATGGAACATTCATCCGTCGAAGAGTCTGAATTATTTTTGACCCGTCGCCATGCTACTCCCTCAACGCCGTCTTTGCTTCGAAACGAGGGGCCGCGTGAATACAGAATTTGGGACGAGCAAAACAGGGGAATTGTGGGAAGGATTCTGTTTCGGAGCTCGGCGGGCAAGGTCAGTATGTCCAGAACGTGGAGTTGCTGGATCTCATGCCGATCCATACGCCGACCGGCTAGTCGGAATATCAGCGAAGGCAGCGAGTTTTCCGCGGCGAACTCCGGGGTCAGGTAAGCTTTGCGAGTACGAGACTTCTTTTTGAAGACGTTTGACCATCAAAGTCTCCTTCGGTAGAGGCTTTGTTCCTCAGAAAATTTACTCACAAATTTTTCCCCAATTCGACACCCCCAATACGAACCCTAGAACGTAATCTTACGCTAATCCCTCACAACTTTCTGCACAGAGTAGGTTATGGCAGAAATTATCATCCCGAGCAGATCTTCGAGCGCGGGAGGACGTCTCGCAGATGGGCTACCGGAACGTGACATTGACGCGGATTAGGTGACAGATATGACGTCATTGCTCATTTCCCTCGAAGGAGCTTTCGCACCTCGGGAATATTCTCTTCGCCAAGATAGTCTCAGTGAATTCGCTTCGTCGAAGTTATGCATGTCGAATTCCCACATTTTCGGTTCCGCTTCCGATATTGTGCCCGAGGCGGACTTTTCGTGAATGAAGCCCCGTGTGAGACTCCTCGCCATTCCTGTTCCGCCAATATATCATTTTTGAAGCATCATCTCCACCAACTCGAGGCGTCACCGACGAATCGGAAATCAGATGCAGTGGATCATGCAGTTGTTGTACCTGTTTTACCCATGCTCAGGTTATTGCCATCGACTATACATCCGAGACGGATTCATCTGGCCTGTCGACGTCCTGTTTTCTGCCCAGGGTGTCCTCCAGCATTTTCCTTCGACGGCAAGCACCTTCCGCTTTCGATTCCGGTCGATTCTGGAAGAAAGCATGTCCTTGCTGGGGCAGAGGCGCTTCCTAGCGGCGAGCTTGCATGATGAAGCCGATACGGACGGAGAGGGAAGTACACGAGGAAGTAAATCAGAGCTCCTATCTCAGCTCGGCTGACAATCTTGTGAGATCGATCCGCAATATGGTCGGCGGTCCTAAGTTGGAAACAAACATGTTTCAAGTAGGCAGAGCTCGCCTCTGTCGTCCAAAATTCCTCTAGTACTTGGAGAGATGGGAGCTATCGATTACTCCGGCAGATCCATTCGAGTCTCTTCCCAAGTGCTCATGGCGGAGCTTCGTCTGGAATCATAAAAGTCAGCCTGGATTCATGCATTCGGATTTCTTTGCACCTGCAAGGCGCTCGGATACTTTCGGGGAAAGCGTTCCTTCTACAGTCATTTGGAGCATGGGAGTGCTCAGAGGAGTTTCGTGGCGGACGACATTAGTTGGCCTGTCTCGCAGTGGTCATGATCTTACACGGAAGCGGGAATCGCAAGGATGCGCCTTGAAGTTAGTTGAGATCCCAATCTCTTTCCCCTCACTTCGACCCGATTTACGAGATAAGCGGAACTGAAGAGTCCATCTTGTCGTTACTCATGAGACATGACCTCCGTCGGAGAAATCGGTGAGAAGAACAGTCTAGTACAAGTTGACCTCATCGGTGGTCATCGGACACGTTGGTTCAAAAATTCTGCATACATTGCCCAAATGAGAGACTGTTGAGGCCTGATCGAGGGCGACAGCCAAGCGAACGATATCCATGCTCGAGGTGGGCTGAAAGCGGCTTTCCTCTGTCTGAATCGCACCATACGAGAACCTACAAGGAAAATTGTTTGGCGTAAACCATCCTGGTGATGGGAGCGAAAACTTGGGCGGATTTTATCGCATTCCTAGCCGTGGTTTAGCCGTGCATAACGCACAAAGCGACACACATACATTCGCGTTTATATGTAGAAGAAGATGTTCTCCGGAAAATCGACACCCTTCAAGGCTACAGCGAGATTCATCAGTAGAGAGACAGAGACCAATGATGACGGCAACCCCCGATAGCCTTCTTAGGAGCCACCGAGAATCCACCTTCTCATGGTGATCGGTCCAGCCGATAAGAAATCCTGAGAATTCGTTTTTCCCTTGATGAAATTTTTGATTCTTGGTGAGAGGACCTCAAATAATTTTTTTATGGTGGAAGGACCCATCACATGAGAACGACGACCCTCATATGACCCTCCTGAAGCTCCCGAGAACCCACCCCTAAATTTTCGCGGCGATCGGTTCAGGCGTTTGCGAATTCCCGATTTTCTAATTTTTTTCCGAGTTTTCGTATTTTTGTGGGTGGAGCACTCAAATAATTTTTTTAAGGTGGAAGGACTCAACGCATCGGAGAACTGACCCCCCGATAACCACCGCTGGATCCCCCAGAACACGCTCCTAAATTTTACGACGATCGGTTCAGCCGTTTTTGAGTCTATAGGTGACACCAGAGAGACAAATAAACAGACATACGTTTATATATATTGCACTAGCGCTCCCGGTCGCCGCTTCGCGGCGACTCGGTATCCCCGCTTTCCCGTTTCCCCGCTTTCCCGTTTCCCCGCTTTCCCGTTTCCCCGCTTTCCCGTTCCCTGATGCGCATGATGGACTGGTGTATCACTAGAACTATGTCGTATGTATGTACATGCTTCCTCGTTTTTGAAGGACCCGGGCACATTCTTCCTTGTGGGAAACTAGGCATTCATTATTCTCTTGGGATACGTATAGTACTCTCATCCCTCGCTGCGGAATTCCAATTCCGCTTGAGAATCGAGAAGGATCCAGTGAAAAGGAGCGAATATTCGCCTCGCTACACTCGGATCGAGAGAGGATTGGCGCGAATCCAGATCACCTGTTAGTTTGAGCCATTTTCTCTCTTTGCCCTCTTCGATGCGATCCGAGAACTAGAGCAGACATATCCGCACGGCGATGCGGCTAGCGCGAACCACACGAACAGACATTCGTGATCATTCTCCCAGCATGTCCTTCGGAGGTTCGGCGTCGAACTATCCCTCGCACCGAATATTTCGGTGCCGAATCATACCTCGCGCCGAGTAATCCGATCTAATCTATATATCGATTCTAATCTATGTACATATATGGGGAATCTGGATCAATAAACACCATACCATACCATACCGAGGCGAGTGGTCCGGCGCCGAATCGTCAAGTTCTAGTCATATATAGCGCGAGTCATATAATAAATTAGATCAGATGCCGGGAATCAGGCTCCCCCAGCGGTTTACTAATCTAGGGATGGTCTTTCGTCGCGGCCGGCGGCGAGAGCCGTGATTTTCCGCAGCATAGAGAGTCAAAGGGAGCTGAAGAGTGCCGTGAATTTCGGGCAAAAATGCCGCGACGAAATGCCGCGACGAAAGTCCAGCCCGAAAAAGCGAAATTGATGAGTGATGAGTCATCACTAGGGCACGGATTTTCATGAACTTTCATATATCCGCATATCACGCATATTTACGCATGGAATGCATTATATGCATATATATGCATATAATATATATATGAAATATAATGCTTATATAGGCATATAATGCTTATATAGGCATATAATGCTTATATAGGCATATAATGCTTATATAGGCATATATAACGCTTTTAAATATGCATATATTCGCATTTTCTCGCATACACCCGCATTAATCCGCATGCTTCAGGAAGATTCTGAAGGGATCGAAGGATTCGAATTATTCCGAGCCATGGTGACGATTTCTTGCATCTTGACTCGACGGTGCATTCTCGAAACATCTAGATCGACAAAAAGCTCTAATTGTGAGACTGAGCTCTGAGCCCAGTCTCATCATATGTGTTCACCTCCCACATCGCAACATTCGGGGAGCAGCGCAGATCAGTCAATGATCACTTGCGAGAACACTCTTGGTGCCGTCAGTCTTCTCTTCGTACTGCGCTCGGTTCCATCTCTAAGTATGCCAAGAACCAAGAAAGAATTTCCCGAACTAGTCAGCGAGTTCGGAGAAGACGTGTTTTCGTGCAATGAGACGGCAGTCATCTGCAAAGCCTGTTCCAAGCCTTTCCCAGGCGCCCGGCGCTTCAATTTGAGCCAGCATATCGGGACGAGCTCGCATCAGAAAGCTCTCGAACGCTTGCGGAAAAGACAGGAAGAAGAGGCTAGACTACAGGCTGCTACGTGCATGTCTGATGTAGCGCCCTTCCCGCTGGATTTGTGCAGGGCGTTGCTGGCCGCGGATATACCCGTTTACAAGCTGGAGAATCCGACTCTCAAGAACTTCTTGGAGACTTACACGACTAGAATAATCCCGAACGAGTCGACTCTTCGTAAGTTCTATGTTCACGAAATCTACGAGCAGAAAATGGCGGAAATTCGAGAGAGCATTGGCGAATCCGCGATCTGGATTTCTATCGACGAAACAACTGATTTCATGGGTAGGAGCGTAGCCCATGTCATCATTGGAGCCCTCAACAACAACGCGCCCGGCCGCCCGTATATCATGAATTGTGAAATTGTGGAGAGAACCAACGCGCACACCGTAGCGACAGTCTTCTACAAAAGCGTGGAGAAACTCTGGCAGAATGAGGTGCGACACGAGAAAGTCCTACTGTTCGTAAGCGATGCAGCTCCGTACATGATCGCAGCCGGGAAGAGCCTCAAGGTGTTTTTTCCTAACATGATTCATGTCACATGCGTCGCGCACGCATTACACCGAGTCGCGGAGCAAGCAAGGAAAATTTTTCCCAATGTCGACCGATTGATTGCATCGGTGAAGAAAATTTTTCTAAAGGCTCCGTTGCGTGTGGAAGCTTTCCGTAGTATGCTGGGCGGCATTCCCCTCCCGCCGCAACCCGTAGTGACACGTTGGGGGACCTGGATAAATGCGGCCCTGTACTACGGCGAACACTTCGAACCGCTGAAAAACTTCGTCAGGTCACACTTAGATTCCGAAGACTCGACGGCGATCGGCGAAGCTCAACACTTGTTCGGACTAGAATCTATCCGGAACGATTTGGTCTGATATCATCGAGCTTGAACACTCTCCCAGACGATCACCTTGCTTGAGGCTAGCGGCGCATCTCTCCGGGAATCCTTAAAACATCTTGAGGATTTCGGATCAACGATTAACTTCACGAGACGTCAAAAATTGTTCCCGGTTAAAGAAAAATTCGAAGCCGTCCTGGCACGCAATGTCGGCTTGCAAACGCTGCGAGAGATCCGAAGTTTGCTCGACGGTTCTTCATCGGGTGGGGAGCTCCCGAGTGATTTAGAGTACAGTGTTGCACAATTCACGAGTTTCAAATTCGCGCCTATCGTCTCGTGTGACGTCGAGAGAAGCTTTTCGATCTTGAAGAATATTCGCCGGGAGAACAGGAATGGACTGACGGCGGCCTATTTGAGAGAGTATGTCGTAATAGCTTGTAATAGAGAGTCATGATTCGATGTCTCCTTCAAATACACGATTTCTATTCCCTAATTCCTGGGTTCAATGTAGAGTATCGTCCCGTTTTTGCGGCATTACCTAGATGAGAACCCTCAGAGAAGCGATCGATCCTTCTCGGTACTCGGCAAGTCATCACTGCCTCTCCATATGAGCTCATGTGCATTGCGAGATCTTACTACGTACATCACTGACCAGGGACAGTCGACGCTTCGCCCCAATGAAGGACTGGGTCACCCCCGGTCTGGTTCGATCAATGAGGAAACGGGACAAACTTCACAAGATCTATAGGAAATCGCAAGATGAGGATGGCCGGGGAGCCTGGATTGAGATTGAAGTTGCTCATGCTTGGACCTCGGACGGGCAGCTCACTCGCTTCGGCTGAACAACAAGCGAAATGTCGATCTCGTCAGATACAAGAGTTCGTCACATTCGCTTCTGGGCCCCTTTATCTTGCGCATATTCTAGCCTCGCTCAGAACTCTTCTGAAACCTCCAGAGTCTGATTCCGAATCCCTTGATTTCTATCTAGTAATTTCTCGGTCTGAAAGAGCTCTCCTGTCTCCCCGAATCATCGCGATGCCTCTTGAGAGTGCCATCACCGAAAACTCATCTGGACATGCAGCGTGCCGATTCCATTTTCTTCCCACAAAAAAGGCATTCCCGTTCTTCTCTGTACACTCAGTGAGGTGCCTGACTGATGGATAAAACTTTTTCGGGCTGGACCACACAGCCAAGGTTTAACGTCCCAAGTACTGTTATTCACATTGCTTCCGAGGACGGATCCATAGAGCAAATGTACCGAGGAGGATCAAGGCCGAGTACCGGCATATTTTCCCGGCGCCAGGGTTCGGACCCCCACACCGCCTCCCGCGCGAGCGGCGTCGTTGCGGCTATGCACGTTTGCACGAGAAGCGACAAACGCGCTAACCACTCGACCACCCGTCGGTCCTCATGGATAGCGCCCTTCCGGGGCTCTCCATCAACATATTATGATCCAAAGCTCTGGAGGGATACCCGAGCACGTATGAGTGCCCCTCTCGAAGAGATGCGGTATTTTCCTTGTCGCAGCGTTCATCCGCGCGACCGTTTCCCCTTCTGCGTGTTTCTCGGACACTACGGTATACATATGCATACTGCATGCATTCAGTAAACTCGCGCATAGTTTCGCATATTTCTGCATATGTTCGCATATGTCTGCATATATTCGCATATTTCTGCGTTTTCCCGCTTATTTTCGAATGCATTCGCATATTTCTGCATGTTCCCGCCTATTTCCGCATACGTTCCGCTCATTTCTGCATGTTAATCCTCATATTTATCCGCATATTCTGCATGCATAGACGCATGTCTTAATGCATGAAAATCCGTGCCCTAGTCATCACTCAATACCGACGATCAATAGTCTTCCGAGGATCAAGCTGAAAGAGGTTCCACGACACACCGGAAAGATACGCCGACGCTTCCTAGGCATCCGGCTCCAGATGCGAGTCTTTATTTTAGTCTTGACAAGTAGCTGCCAAGGGCTATGAAAATCTTTCGCGAACTGCACTCCAAAAGGTTTGCTGTGGTGGTTGGTGCTCGTCCCGTAAGTCCTCGATGGCCTTCTTACACTGAAAGGTTGAACTTCAATAATAATCGTATCATGATGGATTTCGGAGCCGTGAACCCAATTCCTCTCGAAAGCAAAAGCGGCCGTCGACCATGCTCCGGTCTCACCCTCAGTGCGAAACTCTCCGGCTCCTCATCGGGTTCGCAGTACAGTGGCTTGCCCAAATACGTTCGCAGTTTCACAGGGAAGTATGCCATGGGTATGCTGAGCGGAATTCTCGTGGCAGCGTACCATTTCTTAACGGTTTCTGTAACGGAGCAATATCATCTCTGTGTTACGACGGATGAACCTTGCTGTTGAATGAATTGGGAAGTTCATTCCTTCGAATGCTGTGGAGCGCAAGGAGCCCTCGTCGAATGCTCCGCTGTTCTTCACCCTCTCCGCCTCAAGGAGGGCGGTCAATCCGATCCAGAGGAAGAAGAAGGAGCACCTGATTTATTAAACTCGTAAAGGGGCATCGAATGTTGAATGTTCGCTGTGAACATCGGGACGATCGGGACTCCTGTCTCTTTGGCTACTCTCGCGAAACCGCAACGTGATTGCCATTCCACCCTATAAATCGGAATCGATCGAAAAATAAGCGAGTCTCGCATCGGCCTACGAGATATTGATGGTCATGATTATCAGGGATCTGCTCACTTGTAATTCTTGCTGAACATGCTCTCATAAGCGCCTCCTGGGGCCACACAAGTCCAATTGCCGTCTCTAAGAGATTTTTTGACCTCCTCTTGGTCACTGTTCCAGCCCAGCAGCTGAAACCGTACCAGCGGAATTTGATGGATGATTCAGGAACATTCGTGCCGTTGTCCATGGCGAGCCCGGACGGCATGAGATCTGAACTTCCTCACCTCGAGGGATCGTTTGAAGAAGCGCACGCTATGCAAATTTCTGTCCACGCAGCCGCGGAGCAAACGTCCTTTTTTCAGATTGACGTTAGCCGCTAAAAATAATATGTCGGTGGGGATGACGGGCCCATGAAAGACAACCACGAAGGCACCCTGGTCCTCCGGCAGATTCTCGAATCCGTGTAGTTCGATCCCTGAAGCGAAGTGAAGAAATCTCCACGACCTTCTGTAGCATTCCAATGGTCCTTTCACGAGATCGGCGGGATTGACTTGGTCCCACCGATCACCAAGCCCTCGACTCACCGTGCAGGAACGAGAAGAAGACATAAGTGGTGTAGAACAGGGCTTTCCTGAAGATCCTCCTGACGGTCTCTGAACACCTCTCTCCGGTGATGAAACAGAAGGCCGCGCAACTCCCAAAAAACGCGTACAAAAACAGTGCTTCCAGCGTTGCCGGCGCAAGCATTATCTTCCGGTGGAAAAGGGGGAGAGCTCTCGCTGAAGCTTCATCCAGGATTCGGTTCTCCATCGCCAGGCAGTCATTACCATTAACCATCATGAGTTTCATGTGAACTTACGTAGATCGGTCGCAGCCACCAGATTCCCCACAGGTACCATACGAGCAGCGGGTGAATAAAAACCAGGACTAAGTACGAACCCACGGCTATCTGGATTGCGTAGCATTTGAGTTTCTCGACCATCCGGACCCTCCCCATGGTGGTGGATAAACCGACAGCGATTCCCCTGAAGAGACTTTGAGTCATTGAGGGGGCGCGGAATTGCAGTCTATGGAATAAAATTACTTCGAGCTCAGGTCGAATGTGATCTTCCCCGAGCAGAACAGAGAAAAACGGTACGGCTCCATGCCACCGCTTCGAGGTTTTTTTGACGCGAACACACACTAGGATGTGATCAGGATACCCGACCACTTGTAGTCTCGGAGTACTCGACAAATACAGATGATTCGCTAATAATTCTTCATTCGATCACTCCATGGCGCACATTATCAGATTCGACGGAATGTCAGAGGTCTCTAACGCTCCGTCGAAGCCCAAAGACGCGAATGAGTCAACAGAGAATGACTCCATTTCATTTCGAAAGGTTTCGGGGTCTTGAATCAGACATTTCTCGATCAAGCTTCGACAGCTGTCTCCGGGCTGTGGGCACTAGATCCCAAGACCGGGCGATTCTCCAAATCCCGTGAAGCGGAAGAGGGTTGAGCTTCGAATTATTCCGGGGCATTGCTTGAGCTCCGTCACATCAGCATTCCGGCTGCACGGCCACCAATGAATTGTCGGGGGTACGAAGCTGAATATCAGATTTTGAGGAAGAACAAGCATAGCCATGCTCACCTGTGGACTTTCGGAAGACTGGCGGAAAGCTATTCACGTAACCGCGAGAGCTCCTCAAACCCTTTTCCTGGATTGAGGGAAGGAGAGGGACAATCAGGATACTTTTCGCCTTTCACCATCTGCCGCCGAAGATTCGTATGATCGGAAGTCTGGAGTGTATCCCATTGGTCACCGACCCCTCGAGGAAGTAAGATGTGTCATTGGGCCGAGAATCAGGCTCTTCCTTGTGGGAAACTGGGCATTCATCATTCTCTTGGGATACGTATAGTACTCTCATCCCTCGCTGCGGAATTCCAATTCCGCTTGAGAATCGAGAAGGATCCAGTGAAAAGGAGCGAATATTCGCCTCGCTACACTCGGATCGAGAGAGGATTGGCGCGAATCCAGATCACCTGTTAGTTTGAGCCATTTTCTCTCTTTGCCCTCTTCGATGCGATCCGAGAACTAGAGCAGACATATCCGCACGGCGATGCGGCTAGCGCGAACCACACGAACAGACATTCGTGATCATTCTCCCAGCATGTCCTTCGGAGGTTCGGCGTCGAACTATCCCTCGCACCGAATAGTTCGGTGCCGAATCATCCCTCGCGCCGAGTAATCCGAGGCGAGTGGTCCGGCGCCGAATCGTCAAGTTCCCGCGCGGACATTGCTCTTTTTCAGGAGAAAAATATCCTTTGCCATCGCTAGTCTACCGATGCCCTAGCGGATTATGCCCTGTGCCGAAGCCGCATAATGAACTTCTTACGAATGGGCTCAGAACGAAGCGCTTCCTCTGTATTGAGCGGCTACTCAAGCGATGCTCAATACGGTATTTCGAGTCAGGAAACATTCCTCTGGCTGTGCCAGGCGGATGTCTAGTTAGAGCGTAATTGAGTTCCATTGTTCCTGAAACAAGAAATTATGAAAGACTAGTGCTCCCGGTCACCGCTTCACGGCGACTCGGTATCGCTAGGCTACACATGCGCTGGCTCCGGGTGGGCTTGCTTTGGTCGCGCGTGCTCTGGGTGCGCGTCCCGTTTCCCCGCTTTCCCGTTTCCTCGCTTCCCCGCTTTCCCGTTGCCCCGCTTTCCCTCTGCCCCGCTTCCCCGTTTCCCCGCTTCCCCGTTTCCCCACTTTCCCGTTTCCCCACTTTCCCGTACCCCCGCTTTTATTCCATATGTTCTCCGGAAAATCTACACCCTTCACGGCTACAGCAATTTCCAGGGAGATTCATAAGTAGAGAGACAGAGACCAATGATGACGGCAACGCCCGATAGCTTTCTTAGGAGCTCCCGAGAATCCACCTTCTCATGGTGATCGTTCCGGCCGATAAGAAATCCTGAGAATTCCCGTCCTTCCCTTGATGAAATCTTCGATTCTTGGTGAGAGAACCACTCAAATAATTTTTTCATGGTGGAAGGACCCATCACATGAGAACGACGACCCTCATATGACCCTCCTGAAGCTCCCGAGAACCCACCCCTGAATTTTTGCGGCGATCGGTTCAGGCGTTTGTGAATTTTGCGAATTTCCGATTTTTCAAGTTTTTTCCGAGTTTTCGTATTTTCGTGGGTGGAGCACTCAAATAATTTTTTTAAGGTAGAAGGACTCATCGCATCGGAGAACTGACCCCCCTATAACCACCGCTGGATCGCTCAGAACACGCTCCTAAATTTTCACGACGATCGGTTCAGCCGTTTTCGAGTCTATAGGGTACCCCGGACATACAAACAGACAGACATACGTTTTTATACATATAGATAGATAGATTTCTCGGGGAGGGGTGCTACACTAGTGCGAAGCCTATCCATTTAGGCGCCGATCGAAGCAGTACCTCGATATTGAGTCGGGTTGGGTTAGTTCCCCGGACGAGCGAAGCGAGCACATCCGGAAGCTACGATAGGCGAGCGCAAGAGAGCATATTTGTAGCAATCCGTTCTGAATGCCCCGTGGACAACGCGGGAGGTGTTTGAGGCGATTCCGAGGCTTCCGAAACGAAGAGCGCCAGGGCCGGATGGCGTTCTCGATGCGCACCCCCAGCAGAAAGGCGCCATCATTCCCCAAATCACGAATTTGATGAATGCATGCCTGCTGAACGGACTGATCCCGAGCACCTGGAGCTCATGCCTCATGACGATCATACCCAAAGGGAAGGGTAATCGGTAGGCCCTCTAGCGGATCGGATCCGCAAGATCTGCATGATTTTTACGGATCCGGATCCGCAAGACCCGCACGGATTCTTCCTCGAATGTAGGGAAAAATCATTGTACATAGTAGTCGAGAGGAGAACGAGCATAAATCCAGATTCTCCAATGGAGGAAGCGAGCATAAATCCAGATTCTCCAATGGAGGAAGCAGGTAACGCGAGTCACGAATTCTCCATTTCGGTTCGGAACCTCTCGTCTCCAAACTGAGGGCTTGATCCCTCTCTCATTTCCCGCCGACATGACTGCTTTGCACGTCGGACTCCGCTGCGACTTGCGACCGGGATTCGGTCGATTAGCTGAGAGACAACTGTTCATACTTCTAGCGCTAGCGTTCTTTTTCCACAGTTCGTGATCTTGACTGTTCCCCGCGAAAAAGTTTGTAGAGCCTGATATCATCGGAAGTAAACTGCAGCCCTCCAGCCGGGACGAGCCCGTATCCCTATTTTCATCATTCTCCCCGTATTTAGACGGGGCATCCCTCATCATGGAGGACTTCAGGGTCAGAAGAGCTGGGACGGACCAGAAGAGCTGGGTTTGGAAACATATCTTGAAGAGTTCCAAGAGCGGAAAATGCATGAAATGCTCCAGGGTAGGCTCCGCATAAATATCACGGCTCTCATAAGACGTGGGCCCCGTCTGACGCTTCACCAATCCAGGTAGATGTCCTCCATTACTTCCCTATCGTGATCTCATGATTGACATCCGCGTTTCTTTCATGACATCGCGAATCGTAGGTTATGCAGAATGGGACATCGACGGGTGCGTTGATGAAGCATTTGAGGACAAAAAATAGAAGAGGAGCTACCACCCGAATACCGTAAATCCTCCAATAGTGAACCGGGCTTCTATTTTTCAAAAAACTATCGGAGGGGAGCCTCTATTGGAGAGGGTCTTCTATTGGAGGGGGGCTTTTATTTTCTCAAAAGCTCCGGCAGGGGGGCCTCTATTAGAGAGGGGCTTCCATTGGAAGGGGGCTGCTATTGGAGGATTTGCGGTATCTCCCTGAGGCTCCGCAAAAAAAAAAGAACAGCTCAAGTTGGATTCTTTCACTGATCGTCAGCACAGTGTGAGGAATGACGCATTCATTGAGAGAGAAAGGCAGCCTGGCTGATATATTGGGTATTAGTTTAATGAAGAATAACGAAACACTTAATGCTTGGTCATAACCAGGATCAGACGTGTCATTGCTTGTGTCTGTCGAAGTCTAGAGATCTTTGCTCCTGTTGCTCATTTTCCCATCAGGTTATGGGCCCAGCATACTTCTAACTGGGCATCTATCATCCGAAAGTCGTGAATCGTGATGGCTGACAAAGATTTCAAGGTACAGATTGAAAAGCTGAAGGGCGTCGATGACTGGCCGTACTGGAGGTGGCAGATGGGCCTGCTGCTTCGCTCTCATGGCCTGGAATGGGTCACAGATGGTCATGAGATGCGTCCTACGTTCGAGAACAAGGACAAACCTACTGAGGTTGAGAAAGAATACGTGTCGTACTGGAAGAAAGGAAGCGCTCGGGCCGCTAGTCTCATTGGGGTCGCCTTGAGCAAACAAGTGTCTGATCTCGTGCTCACGTGCGGAGAAGCCGACGATATCTGGAGCAAACTCTGCGCTCGCTTCGAAAGGAGTAGCGCCGCTCGGCTGAACAATCTGATCGAGAATTTCTTCCAGGCAAGACGCTTGGACTCCGAGGACATGAATGTCCACGTTGCAAAACTGCAAAAATTGTTCGCCGATCGGAACGACGAGCTTGCCAAGCACAAGGAAAGTATTCTGTCCGAAAGGATCCTAAATGGTCGTATCCTGTCAACTCTTGGAAAAGAATACAATCACTTCAAAGATTTGTGGGACACCATACCGGAAAAACAGCAAACGGTGAATTTGCTCATCGAGAAGTTGTCCGGCATGGAGCTGAGGGATACAGGATTGGATTCCGTCGAGGCGTTCCAAACTGCGCTTGTCACGTCACGAGAGAAGGAGGAAAAATTCGCAGCTCAGAATGCGTCTCGGCCGAAGAAGACGTCGAAGTCAAATGATAAAGAAAAGTCGAATGGGAAGGACAAGGAGAGGCTCAAGTTGAAATTTCCATGCCGACGATGTAAAAAGTTGGGCCACTGGGCAGCCGAATGTCCAGAGGATCCAAAGGTGGATACTTCAACCTCGCTCCTAGTGCTGCCATGTGTGAAGGCCGTGGTGGATGGTATCAAAGCAGATCGCTGGTACTGTGATAGTGGCGCTTCAAGGCACTTGACTTGGAATCGGAGGTTCTTCTTGTCGTACACTGAGTTCGCACAACCACAGAGAATTTCTCTCGGGAAGAAAGATGTGTCGATGCTCGCGCACGGGGAGGGATTCGTGGAGGTGATATTCGACAATCAGGATAACGATGTCGTGGCTACCCTGAATAATGTCCTCTTCGTTCCCGACGCAACCGCCCATCTTCTGTCTGTCCGCGCGGCAGGGGAAAGAGGAATGGTTACGGTTATCGACAAGGAAAGCGTTAGCATTCGGAAGAAGTGCGACACGCTCGACGCGAGCGGAAAACTATCTGGAGGTCTGTATGAAATGGACCTGTCTGTGGTAGAGCCGAAGGTCGCTCATCGGGCCATGATTTCGGGGGAAACGCTGAGCCTGCAAACTTATCATGAAAGGTTTGCGCATCAGAATAAGCGTCATGTCAAGGAGATCCTAAGACGCATGAACCTGAGCGTTCCTGATGATGGAAATTAGTTCTGTGAGGGGTGTGCGCTTGGAAAGACTCATCGCTTGCCGTATCGTCCAAGGCAGGAAGGCGCCAAGTCAGTTGGAGAGCTGATCCATGCTGATGTCTGCGGTCCCATGGAGGTGGTATCGAAAAGTGGCTATCGGTACTTCGCTTGTTTCAAGGACGATTTCAGTCGATTCCGTCGTTTGTTTTTCGTGATGGAGAAAAGCGAGGTGAAGGACGTCTTGGAGCAGTTCTTGAATATAGCCATGACCCACGGACATGTTGTCAAGAAGTTCCGATCGGATGCAGGCGGAGAGTACGTCAACCAGACAGTTGCCAAAATTCTGGCTAATCGAGGTATTAATGATCTGATTGGGTGCCCGTACTCGGCGGAGCAGAATGGTGCAGCGGAACGGGAGGATCGGACGATTGTCGAGGCTGCTCGCTCGATGCTCCATTCAAGTGGACTTCCAGAAGAGTTGTGGGCGGAAGCCTGCAGTAAAGCGACTTATATACTGAATCGCACCGGGAAGTCGTCTCTTAAAGAGGAGTTTCCGATTGAGCTGTGGTCTGGACAAAAAGTGCAAAGCTTGGATCACTTGCGAGTTTTCGGATCGGCCTGCTAGGTTCACGTCCCTAAGAAGCTTCGGAGGAAGTTCGATGCGAAGTCTCTTGCCGGTCATATAGTCGGATACGTGAATGACAAAGATGGATACCGTATCTGGGAACCCTCGAAGGCCAAGTTGATGCAGTTGCATGACGTGAGGATCAAGAAAGAGACATTGTGTCCAAAAGAAGATGTTCTCGCACCGGTGGCTGACGGGGAGGAACAGTCTGAGTATCTTGACGGTCAGACAACGGTCGTGAGTGTACCGGGTACTGAATCGGAGGGAGATGAAGTCCCAGGAGGGTATCGGCCAATTTGGATGTGGCACCAGCGACCTCCGGTCTGCGAAGAGGAGCTCGTCTTGGAAGAAAGCCTGCTTGGATGACATCAGGAGATTGGGCTCTTGTGAATGATGTAGAGGCGGATAGTCGAGCCAGGAATCCAAGTTGCTACAAGGAAGCTGTTGAATCCCATGCGAGAAGAGAGTGGATAACCGCATTGAAAGATGTAGGAAATCTGGATACCGACGTGAAAGAGAAAGTCAAAAAGAAGTTGCCTTTCGGAGGGAGTATTGAGAGAGAAAGGCAGCCTGGCTGATATATTGGGTATTAGTTTAATGAAGAATAACGAAACACTTAATGCTTGGTCATAACCAGGATCAGACGTGTTATTGCTTGTGTCTGTCGAAGTCTAGAGATCTTTGCTTCCGTTGCTTACTTTCCCATCAGCATTGAGGCTGATATGCGAGTCAAACATCAGCGTGAATCAGGTCGTGAGCTCCGACACTCTCCGGAGACTCTTCAGCCGGTCTAACCCCAGTGATCTACATCTTCCAAAATCAGGATCAACCTCTACGAAATATCGCAATGGAGACGCGTCGAAACTTCGGGATCAGCTTCGTCTGACATTACAGAATATTTGTTCCACAGGTTCGAGACCCGTGATCCCGATTTAAAAAAGCATGACCTCGCCTAATTACTCCATATATGGAATCTGCTGCTTCTTAGGTCAGAAGGTTTTCATTTCCTTCGATGAAGCCACTTCCACATATATCGGAAGCGATCGTTATCTCTCGATAAACGTCCATCACGAGACTGTGATACTCGCGAAGTCAAACTCGGACTCCTTAGAGAAGACAGTCGAGCCACCGGAACGTATCTGAGCGAGCTTATCACTGGAAGACTCGGCAGTGTGGGTCTTTCCCGGAGGAACATCGTCGCGGCGGCGACTGACGGTGCCAGCAATGTTCTCAGAGCGGTTGAGATCATGGGCATGAAAACGCAGAAGTGCTTTGCACTTGGTCTCGATTTGGTCGTGAGAAAAGTCATCTACGGTGAAGATGTTGTGGCATTCGATGTTGCCATCCTGGAAGCTCCAACGGATGAGGGAACAGACACTCTTTAAGAATCCCGAGTCGAGGAAGGAGCGGATCCGCTCCGATCAGCGCTGGAGACACGCTTGCTCTGGACAGCATAGCCAAGACTCAGGCTCCTTTCAAACCGGCTATACTGTGATGTCGACCACGCTCGCGATACTAGAAAATCCAGATTACAACATCAAGTTAGAACGAGCAATGGGGCGAAGGCCTCCATCCGATGAGGAGGTACTCGAAGTTCTGGCGGACATAGTAGATGCCGGAAGAGAGGCCTCCGTAGCCAGTATCAGTGGAGCTACGAAATCTTCGGTAAGCTTCCGCAGATCAGGAATTTTTTGCTCTATCCAATACGACCTGATGGCATCGACCTGATTGGAAGATGGAACTTTTCAGGAAACGCTCTCATGGGATTCGATATCCGCCGCTCCATCGGCTCCAGAATCTGACAGAGATAGCGACACCTGTAGCGCGGAGAGTCTGAGGAGGGAATTCGCGCTCTTCAGAGCGGGTGCAGGTCGCGGTCATCTCCTGGAGATGTGTCACGCGGTTCTGAAAACCGTACCTCCGACCTCAGTTCAGCCCGAGAGGGATTTAAGTATACTGCGTCTCCTTCTCGGCGAGAATCGATCGAGTCTCAAGAAAAGAACTCTTGATGACATTTTTATGCTTCGGAAAGCATTCAAGAGTGGATGGTAGATCTTTGTTTGTCACGCAGGTCGTGCCCGAAGGATCGATCCACTCGATTTTATAGGTATTTAATCATGAGTTCGAGGAAGCGATCCGTTTCGTCTCGCCGACGATAATATCCGCATACATCAGCAAGCTCGATAGGTTCTGAAAGATCAGAGTGAGAGCAATCTGGGAACTCGCGTACGCAAGGTCAATAACTGCCTTCAATCTCACAGGGGGACACTTCACTCCCGATCTCGATTCTCTCATACTTGCCCATGCATCTTACCGCCAAATGCTCTGCCAGAAAGGAATCTCAGCGTATTATCGTTCATCACACTTTCTTGTAGGTGCATCTTTATTCTCACAGAGAGGTCTGGTGCATGTCGTGGGGATGGATATGGTCCATTATCGGGCATCCGGGGCCCATGTAAGTTCCGCTGAATGATCGAGCCATCATTTCGTAAAGCGTAGGCTCGATGTAAAGGTCCATCGCAGCCGAGCCGTGGATGTGTAGCACCTCGAGTCGAGGCAGGATTCCCGGCAAGTTCAGCTTCATCTGTGAAAGACTGCTCGGCAGCTCACTAAGCGACAAGCAGAGCTGCTTGAGCTTCTTGATGCTGTGCAGTGCCCTCCATACAAACGCCGAGTTCATGTCCACCCACTCGGCAGTGAGTTTGAAATTCTCAAGACTCTCGCAATCTCCACAAATCCACCCAAAGCTGCTATGTCGCTCGGGCTACACATGCGCTGGCTCCGGCAAGGGCTTGCTTTGGGCGCGCGTGCTCTGGGAGCGCGTCCCGTTTCCCCGCTTTCCCCACTTCCCCGTTTCCCCACTTTCCCGTTTCCCTTGTTCCCAGTTTCCCTTGTTCCCCGTTTCCCTTGTTCCCCGTTCCCCTTGTTCCCCGTTTCCCTTGTTCCCCGTTTCCCTTGTTTCCCGTCCCCCTCATTTCCCGTTCCCCTGCTTTCCCGTTTTCCCGCTCCTCTGTTTCCCTGCTTTCCCGCTCCTCTTTTTCCCTGCTGTCCCGCTTTCCCGTTTCCCCGCTCTCCCGTTTCCCCGCTCTCCCGTTTCTTTCCCCGTTTCTCCCTGTTTCCCGTTTCTCCCTGTTTCCCGTTTCCCCACTTTCCCGTTTCCCTACTCTCCCGTCTCCCCTCTGTTCCCCGTGTCCCTGCTTTCCCGTTTCCCCGCTTTCATTCCATATGTTCTCCGGAAAATCGATACCCTTCAAGGCTACAGCAATTTTCAGCGAGATTCATAAGTAGAGAGACAGAGACCAATGATGACGGCAACGCCCGATAGCTTTCTTAGGAGCTCCCGAGAATCCACCTTCTCATGGTGATCGGTCCGGCCGATAAGAAATCCTGAGAATTCCCGTCTTTCCCTTGATGAAATCTTCGATTCTTGGTGAGAGGACCACTCAAAAAATTTTTTTATGGTGGAAGGACCCATCACATGAGAACGACGACCCTCATATGACCCTCCTGGAGCCCCCGAGAACCCACCCCTAAATTTTTGCGGCGATCGGTTCAGGCGTTTGTGAATTTTGCGGATTTCTGATTTTCCAATTTTCCAATTATTTTCCGAGTTCTCGTATTTTTGTGGGTGGAGCACTCATATAATTTTTTTAAGGTGGAAGGACTCATCGCATCGGAGAACTGACCCCCTATAACCACCGGGAGATCCCACAGAACACGCTCACAAATTTTCACGACGATCGGTTCAGCCGCTTTCGAGTCTATAGGTGACAACAGACAGACAGACAGACAGACAGACAGACAGACAGACAGACAGACAGACAGACAGACAGACAGACAGACAGACAGACAGACATTTTTTTATGTATATAGGTGAGGAAGACTCGGCTTTCGATAGACAGGGGATCGAGACGCCAAAGATCTCCTCCAATCAAATCGCCTATTTATTCGCCCTAACTAAAATGATTATTACTTATCTCGGATTATTATTATCTCGACTGAGCAAATCGTGATTCCTTTTGCTTCATTGAACTGGTCAAAGAGAATCCGTCTTGCAATCATAAATCGATCGACCGAGACTCCTCTCTCTGGCGAGACCGCTACGCGATCGCCATTCTCATCCTTCAAGAGAAATTGATAACGAGAAATGTCTAATGTCTAACCGCCGGATTTGATGTATAGGTATACCATGGATGGATGCGCTGCTGGCGCACGCTTTGCCAGCAATATTTTAGTTTCGAGCATCCTCCGGAATCGGAACACAGGCCATGTCCTTCCGAAAAGCTAGCGGGGGGCGATTGCTCTCCACGGAAAGGCTGTTTGATCCCGCTAATATTTCTCCCCTCATTCAGCCGAATGCTGAGTTAGTCAGCAGGATAACACGAAAGGATGCCGAGTTCCCATTGTCATAGAGCATGAAGCGATCGAAGGGGGTCCGGCTCCGAAAGGCCCGTGCACTGTGATCTAGAGAAGCTATCGTACCCATGAAGGATTGCTTTCCGTCTGATTCCATCGCCTCTTCAGAGGAGGTACTTTTGTCTCATCAGCGAATCTCATAGATTTTCACAATCTCAAACGTTCAGGATCGAGACTCATTGCTTGAATCGCGATGCGTCGACGTCCCTCCGCAGTCCCGATGAGTCTCCTCTGCGTAGCATCGGAGCAGGACGGCGCACCTGAGTTCCCGCGTGACGCGGAAAAGAAGAAAGACTATCTTATCGAAAATTCTACCTTGTCGAATCCCGCTGCTCTTTTTTCCTTCATTCAGTCAAAAACTGAGTCGAGGAGGCGCTCGGCGACGAGAAGGTGGTACTTGGAGTGAATACAGTTAAGCAAACAGAACAACCCTCAGATTTAGCGTTTTCTGCATGTGAAAGGAGTCACGGACATCAGCAATCTCGCTATCGAAGGCCCAGTCCAACAGCGCTTAGGAACGATTAGAAGAAATAATTTCCTTAGCAGCGACAGTAGCGGATATCCGCGCCCGGTGAATGAACGTTGAGGCACGGGCAGCGACCGGGTCACAGCGCGTCGGCGCGGCGGCTATAGATCGAGCGGATCCTCTTCGGAGGCTTCATACTGATTTGGGGATGGAGTTCGAGCTTGTGGTAGGCTTTTGAGCGATTGGGGAACTGTATACTTCGGATGGAAATATGATTCCTTCCCTCTGCCGAAATGAATTCGGCCGACAGCGGCAAGAGAAGCTTCCGACCACTCTAGAACCACCACCCACCGCGATCTCAAACCATTATTGAATCACGGAATGAACCACTATTGAACCACGGCGAGCAGCGGCGATCCTCTGGTGTGGCGAGGGAAATTAGATGACGTCATATTCCGCACTTCTGTGGGCGAAATTGACGCAGTTGGACGCAACCCCTCCGGAGCAAATTCAGCCTGAGGAAAAATGAAGAGCGCTCGAAGGCCCTGACGAATTTGGAGCCGATCGCACCTCTCTTTTGGGTAAGTGCCATGGATTTCAACGTGACGCACAGACGGCGTTTCAGTGCTGGGGATATTCCCATCTATCTGGAGTATTTGCTGCTTATGCTAGAGTCCGAATAACGCTCTGGGAGCATCTCTGAGCTCCAATCGGTCATTGAGCTCAATCCGTCATGCAGCGATTATCGAGCCTCACAGTGTCTTCGGGGAATTCGCCATTGATAGTACACGAGATTCTCATAATCCCCTCGTGAGGAATCCTTCGAAGAAACATATTATACACCTATTGGCATCTACGCAGACCCCGATATACTTCCGCCTTAAGGTCAGACGCGGAGAGAGGAGGGCGACAAAACTATGTAGATGTTAGCCCCAGTTCTAGATGACTCCTTTTTTTCTCGAGAGATATCCGAATCCATGACTTGGATGCCCTGCATCCGAAGTCAGGAGAACTCGACAGAGGGGTCTGTACAGAAACTCTGCGTCAACCAGTCCGACTTGGGTGTGTGCGACCGCACCATAGATAGCCAAGTCTTGGTCGCCTAAATGAAGAAGGGGATATAGGAGAAGATATGAGGTCAGGGAGACCTCCTTGAGAAGTGCTCCATTCTTCCCCGAGATGAATTCATGAATTCAAGAGATGTAGATAAAATTACGCGCTGATTGTGATGAACACATTCCTGATGATTCTTCTCTCGGCAATATCGCATACTAGCGGCAGTCACATCGATATTACCAGTGCAGCATCAGCTTCCTCTGTGCCATCGGCAGTATACCGGCTACGGGGCAAAAGCAAATGAGGAAATCTGACAGTTCTCCGGGAATCCCAAATCGTCACTCCGCCTCACTTCCAGAAATATTCTGCGTGGGGAGACGACGTCGCTCTCCTAGGAAACGGAATCCCAGCTAGCCCTGCTGGAATGAAGTTGAGGAAATATCGGCGATGAATGTCAAGTCCCTCAGCGGGCGATTGAGATCGTAAGCTCAGTCGGTAAAGTGAGTTCGTCCAAGGTGGGGAGACTGCGGATGATGCCGGCGGTGGAGATCATGGAGCCATCGAGTCAGTTGAATGAATTTTCTCCTCTGCGGCTCATCCCCCCGGGAGGATATCCTAGGTATCCCCTCTATGCTCCTTCGATTTCGGTCAGACAGCTCTCTCAGCTCGAGTCGCGGCGATTTGCCGGCCCGATCCGAATCGCTTTGATTGTGAGAAATCTTTCTTGCTCGTGGCGAAATTCGAGCATACGCCTTATACCCCCAGCGGATCGGGGATCTGTGTACTCTGGGGTAGGAAATCGAGTCAGAATCACGCTCCCTCCGGGCTTCTCGGCTGCTCCCTCCCGAAATACCGAAACAATCCGAAAAAGAGAAAAAAGTTTAGGTCGGGAGGAACTGCGCCGGAGCGAGATCGGCCGCTACGTGTTCAGCCTCGTCTGGATCCGGATTCGGAATGACCCGTAATGAAGTGTTACAAATCCCGAAAGGGATGGCATAGACGCTTTCGGAACATCGGCATGGACCTTCGGATCGGAGCATCCTGAGGTTCATCCAGGGAGGGTTTTTATTCCGAAGGCTCCGGATGCCAGAATATTATTATTACTCATAACCTCGACACGTAGCTACGGCGAATCCGCGAGATTCGCTGCATAGGCAATCGGCCTCTCGGAGAAGGGGACTGTCGGAGCCATCCATTCGATTCTAGGCCAGAGCCTTCGGTAGTACATGGATACGGATATTGCGATTAGCAATGTTACGCATCATTCATATGTATATGCGAGAGAAGTTCAGAGAGAAACGGCTGTCAAGGGAACGCTGATAAGACTGTGGATCGATGAAATCACAAACGCGACTAAGAAAGTCAAACGACCGGGGTAATCTTGAGGGAAACACAGGAAACTTAAAAATCTGGCATACTATCCATGCAGGGCGGAATTATCTTCCACATACAGGTGCATAGATCTCTGATCTACCTCTAGCAGAAAACGACTCAAAGGTGAAAAGGGTAGCTCAATATCTGGATGCGATTCGTGAAGACATTCCAACGTCAGTCCATTATTTCATTATGGAGGATCAGGAGACGAGATTCCATGATGGTGAGCTGGCTTGTTCTAGCCACCTAGAAAATGGGACATTTAGCCTTCGATAAGGGATTCGGGTTTCTGTGCCCTACATCGACTAGGTCCATCGTTCGGGGCGTTCAGAGACGGTGATGGAACGAGAAACTGTATCCACGTTTACAAAGTCTTGTTCAGATGTCTGCATCGAAGATGTCTGCATGCTCGTTTTCTGTCGAATCGAGCGAAAGAAAGACGAAAGCTTCTCGAGACGCTACGCGCGAGACTCACCAAGTTTAACGAGGAGGCTCTGGTGGTGATTCTATTTTCAATTTATTTAAGTCTTGTCGCGTTCGAGAACAATCATATCAACTCTTCCCGGTCCAACTCTAAGAAGCTACCACAGTCTTTCCCGTAAGGCATTCCAATAGCTCTGCTGTGGCGGCTGATACTTATCTCGCAGGTTCTCGATCGCCTTCTTGCACTGAAAGTTAGAGCGTCAATCATCATCCAGTCTAGATTAGCGATGAAACGCGACTCGAAGAGCCATCGGATGATTGGTTTCACTCCACAAAAACCGATCGATGTCAGAATAGAATACCCTTAACGCGAACACTTCTGGCTCCTCATCGGTGTCACAGTAGAGCGGCTCGCCAAGATAGGTGCGCATCTTCACGGGGAAGTAAGCCTTGGGTATGCTAAGCGGAAATCTTGTTGAAGCATACCACTTCTTCATGGTTGCTGCGATAGAACATCGTAGCGAATGAGGAAAAATTTCGATACATGAAACGGAAAGTTCGCTCATCCCAGAAGATCTTCCTTGTTCTGATCGGTGATATCCTCATCTGCGGGGTGGACGATGGATCTCCCGAGAATCGGCTTGGGACGGTTGTTAAATTGTTACCTGACTTGTTGAATCCGAAGAGGGGCATCGAATGTTGGAGATTCGTTGTGAACATCGGAATGACGGGAACCCCCGCCTCTTTGGCTACCTTTGCGAAACCGCACCGAGATCCCCATTCCAACCTGAGAACCGAAAGTGGGTTCGCAAGACTGTCCCCTCACCCGCATGCTGAGCTCGATATTATAGGTGCAATATTCCACTCACTTGTAGTCCTCACTGAACATGCTTTCGTAGGCACCGCCTGGGGCCACGCATCTCCAATCACCGTTTTTCAAGCCTTTTATGAGCTCTCGTCGGTCACTGCTCCAGCCCAGAAACTGAAATCGTGAGAGAGAAATTCGAACAGTGAATTGGATCCATCTGCGTCGTCGAGAATCTCCGGAAATCGGAGGCTTGAGATCTCGTGTATCACCTCGAGATAGCTCTTGAAGAACCCTATGCTGTGCCATGTAACGTCGACGCAGCCCCCCAACAAGCGTCCTTTCCTCAGGAAGACGTAACTCATCATGAAGACAACGTCGACACAAACGATGGGACCGTGATAGAAAACCACGATCGCACCCTTCCCATCGGGCAGATTCTCGAATCCATGCACTTCTAACCCTGAAACGACGTGAAAATGAGCATATCGGAGTCTGGAAGGATGTTACATCGAAAAACTGAAACGATTGGTTTGGAGCACTGGGGAAAATCCACGAGACCGTCATATTCAATGAATTCCACCGCATGATAGCTAATGAACTCTCGGCTCACCGTGCAGAAATCTGGAGAAATAGTAAGTCGTGTAGGCCTGGAGCTTCATGAAGGGCTTTTTGAATGGAGCTCCATCCTGTCCTCCGGTGATGAAGCAATACGCTGCACCCGCTGTGAAGTTCACATACCAGTACACGAGGAGGGACGTCGCCGGAGCGCACATTATCTTCACGCGGGGCACAAGAAAAAATCAGCCGGAGATTCACAGGAAAAAAAGCCGATTCCGGTGGCATTGGGATATTTTTAGCCATAACTTTGAGGTCAACTCACGACGATCGGTCGTAGCCACCAGTATCTCCACAGATGGTTCACGTAGAATGGGTGTAGGAAGAATATGGCCAAGTAAATACCCACGACGGCTTGGAGTCCGTAGCGTCTGAGCGTTTCAAGGACTTGAGCCTGCTTCATGGCGAAGCGAGCAGCCGGCTTGTCGCGATTGCTGAAACTTGAGGGGCTGATTAACCATGTGTAATATTTATTTTCCCCGGTACGATCAAGGCCGCATCGTTCCTCAAGCTTCCACCCTATTTCGCCGGGATCGAATCATTCCGTGGTTTGGCCGATCTCTCCATCCTCAGTCGTGTCATGCCTATCACTCTGTCATCCCGTTCTGGTACCTCATCCCTCCTGGATGAGGGTGCTCTCCAATATTCGGGCAGGCTTTAGAAGCGACAATTAATTAATAGGCACTGTCCAGAGACGGTCTATCAACGATAGACGGAACCCCATAGTATGCTCAATACGGGATGCAACGTGGGTTGCAGAGCTGGAGTCACAACCATGTAAGCGGGTACTGAACTCATCCCCGGTTCCACCCTGTTCCTAATGTCTCTGATTTCACCGACGAATGGGACCGAATACGTGACCCTTGCTAGCCTGAAAGTAGGCACTTGATTGGAACAGAGAACAGAGTCGCCAGTGACTTCGATGAGGTCCGAGGTGCATGATCCTTTCGGTTGGATCCTGGAACCAGATCAAGTAGAAGCTTCCTGCAGACTGAATATATGGATGCGAGTCTTTTTCGCAGAACTTCAGCCATCATCGGAACGCAACATGACCCTCCCTGCCTCCCAAGAAAAACCCTTCCGCCAACGCCGGACCAGTGTCAATAGCTGTTCATCTTCGTCGACGAGGACTAGATCCCAGAGGTGTCATCGAGTTCCGCGGATCGATGAAAGATCCGCGGAATCCAACTAGAATTGCGCGGAAATGCGTGGAGTTCGTGTCATCCGAGGCTTGGAAATAAGAGGCTAGGCATGCGGAGCTTACCTTCTGGCCTTTGTTAGTCAGGCGAACGAACAAACCAAGCGAAGGCTTGGTTGAGGAGCTTAGGAAGAACCTATCGGATCGGTCTTCCCGGCTAGGGGAAATCGAGCGTCGAACTCTTTAAATGTGGACATTGGTAAGCTATAGACAGTTGCTCAACTCTCACCTGGAGTGTTCGACTTCCGTCGGTCCTCACGTGGGAAAGAGACAGCGTCTGGTGCGAAGCGCAAAAAAGCTTCTGCATCGTACGCGAACTCCTTCCAGCACAGCCATTGTTCGGTAGCAGGCTATGGTGTCTAAAGTTCCGCTCGTTCCCCGGACAGGCATTCTCCGTGGATGAAGAGACTCGCGAAGCATACCACAAAACTCCTCCGAGAAGTTTCGCGCACGAGCGGCCTATGTCTCTGCCGTCCAGGCAAATACACGGACCACACATACCCGATAGCTAGTAGAATATCGCTAGTCGCCCTCGTGAGACATTCGTCGCGCGAGACGGCTTTCATGCATAACGGACTCGCATATGGATATCGGGTTCCCTTCACTCGGAGAGTTAGTCAAATTCCGGACGTTGGATTCTCCCGAATTCTATATCTGTTTCCGGGTCCCTCGGTCAGCGCGCTCTGATGTCCCAGAGTAGCTTGGAGTCACGGTGAGGTCTTCCTTCAATTGAAAAGCATCGCCTTCGATAGTACTTCCATATTCGAGGCGAAAGACGGAATCGCTCGACGATATGAACCAGGCAGCTCATATTTTGCATTTCCATGGTGCTCCTGCCAATCTGATCGGCCGCCAGGCTGAAGCGAGTGGGGAAGTTCATTTTCTCCCGGAAGATCCATTCCAATGCTTGTTCGTTCATCTTGCATCGTGGAGTATCCCTGTCTGGAGGGGAAAACAGCCTGCGAATGAATTCTCGCTACTCGTGGCGCAAACACGGAATTTCTTCGGGGAAACGTCAGAGGACCCTCAGAAGAGCAGCGGCTATTACGATAGCAAAGCTCTGAGGGTAACTTTTTGTAGAAATGCATCGCTAAAAATATCCGCGCCCCGATTTCGCGTCAGGCACCAATGCATGATCCCCCCCGCCTCCCCAGGTGATATCCGTACACGCCTTTCTCCCTTGAAGCTTCCGAAGCGAGGCTTTCGAGTCAGGGCCTGCTAGAAACCTCCGTGACGCCTCACTCTCGCTTTCTAAGGACTGGATTTCAGCGAGGTACGATAGAAGAGAGCGCGAGTCCAGCGGGGCTCCTCCGAAAGACCAACATAGAACACATCGTCATCTACCACAAGTAAGCGCCTCGCGGCTCCAGCTTCTCCGGAACTTCCGTCGAGCCCGCGCCGAGAGGCGCGCGAGGAACGCGGGGATTCCCCACTTACTTGTGATTGTGCATCGAATTGATCTTCAAACTGTTCCCAAACATCGAAAGTTCGGAGGGCGAATCACGGCCGAAATGTGTTGCATATCATCGATCCCCATGTCAATTGTCCCCGATATTCCCATGAAAGTCTATGGAAACTCGAAACCAACTCGATCATACCACTGATTCCTGACGAGAATCGAGCGTTAGAGTCGACTTTGTCGTTTCCAGCTCTCAGGATCGAAGACTATCCAGAATTGAAAGACATCAGTCACATGGGCGAACGATTCCAGCGGCCCCGTATCGAGCCTTGGGTAGCGGCAGGCTCCGATCAGCCTCCACGGCCAACAAGAGATTCGGCGACAGAAGGAACTGTAGGAGTCAATTCATTCGGATTTCCACCTGTCATTCATCCGTGTTGAGAGGGAAAGGTGCATACGGCATATTTCAGAATTCAAAATCCAGGGAATCCCATCTCATGCATCACGATCATCGCTGCGAGCCGTCTAGTTCAGAACGCTTCGTCCGTGGGACTAGTCCCGAGACCGGCTATACCGTGGGAAATGTAGTGAAGCCTCGCTACAGCGAACCATCTGGGGAACCGGAATTCCTCTAGCTATACAAAAATTCAGCTTTGAGGAGTGATATTCAGCACTGCCTCCTGAGAGGAGGTCCGGCCGAAGTGACTGCAGAGAAACATTCGTTGTGCTGAAAGTTTGCTTCGCCGTACGGGTTATACGTTGCGTAACGAGGTCTCACTGTAGGGGGATTCCTCAACACGGGCCATATGAGAGTTTCGCGGTACTAGGAGTGAAGAACGCCGTGCTCTCGGATCATCCTGTAAGCTTCGGCTCTTGTTCTCTCCGCAGCAAGCGCCGAGCCGGCATCGCAACGGCTCTTCCAGAGGGATCATCTCTGACTAATGAAGAATCACCCTTTTTTCTATTTTTTTTTGACGTAGGACTGCGTCCTAGGTCGCCCAGATATAGGGGCACTGCAAAAAGTAAACAAACTGAAGTGCGAAAGACAAGAGCTTATTAATAGCTCTATGTCTAGGATGACGGCCGACACTCCGGAGGCAGCTCAACCCGTGTTCGCCAGAGGCGTAGACCGGAGTGCAGCAGTGCAGCGCACAAACATGGGGCGAGCAGATTGCTATCTCTAACCAAAGACCGACAGCGATGCGGAGTGTGTTGTTGTCCAGCATTGTGCCAATCGACGGGAAGGGTACAGCTTGAAGCCATCTTCCACTACTCATGTGGAGTGCCGCATTGAGTCTCGCTTTGATTAGGTCCCCCGACGAGCTCTGGAGGAGCTCCTTGCGTCGTATAGATGTGACTATGGCAGAGCAAGAAGCGTGAGAAACCTCCGGAATGCTCTTCCAGCAATCCTCGAACCTGCGAGATAGACCGGTGATTCAGGCGTCGAGGTGAGCCGCGGCAATGCTCGGACATGAACCGGCAACGAGCGACTCGAACTGACACAGAGAGCCCGAATGAGCGCTCACCGCGAGGTCACAGAGGGATCGGATAACGAGTCCTACGGCCGATATTGGGAGTGAAGCCTGCTTCCAGCAGTCACTCGAGAGGTCGAGTACCGTGCAGAGACATAGTCTAAGTTTTTCGACGAGGCTCCGAAGGTGGTCGCGGAAGCGGTCGGCGTCCGAACAGCGAAGGAGGTAGATCAGACGAGGAGCAGAGAGGCTACAGCAGATGAGGAAGAGGGCCGGGTGAGCGTCCAGAGCAGAGAGTCTTGTGCACCATAAATCAACGAGCGCTATTTTTCTCCTGGAGGCTTCTCTTCAACGAGAGGCCATTCAGAGGAGCACCCAAGAGTTTGAGCTCGCTCTCAGACAGGAGCCTGATATTTGAGAGATGAAGCCGAGCGGCATTAAGAAGCTCCGCTCGGACTACCGGAAGGTCTGACATCACGAGAAGCTCACATTTCGCCTCGTTGAGAACGAGGCCTGACACGAGGCGGGAATCTTTCACTCTCTGGATGTCACCGAGGACTGGAGCAGTGTCACCGCCGAGCGTCGTCCAGAAACCAAGGCCTGAACTCCGATTCCAGTGACGATTTAAGTGATGAAGAGCAATGCAAAAGATAGCCAGGCCGCAAGGATCGCCTTGCTGGACTCCGCATCTTGAAAGCATGACCTTGTTTCCCCCGATCTTTCTTACGCAGGGCCAAGTTTGCTCCGTAAAAAGTGTCCAGAACGAAACCCTGATGATTTGATGATGATTGAATCTGCTTCGAAGACCCGAGCGTGAGGAACGGTCTATGCAATGGGACACGATCGATCGTCACTGATATTGTATCGCGTTTGATCCCCTGCTTTGCTTACGGACATAAGAAGGGATCGCCAGTAAATAATCATTCCGGAAATCGACTCTATTACTCTCAGCCGCAGACGATATCCTCTTCGGCTGAGTTTCAGCATGATGATCAACAAATCTCAGGGTCAATCTTTCTCGCGCGTCGGCATCGATTTGAGTGAGCCTGTTTTCTCACACGGCCAACTCTACGTCGCATTGTCGCGGGACAGTTTCTCGCCGAGAGTGGTATTCGTCACGAGAATACGGTTCCCTATTGTGCGGAACAAAACGGGAGATCAGAGAGAACTAATCGCACGCTGGTTGAAAAAGCGAGATCAATGATGACCGAAGCCGGCCTCGATGGAAGTTTCCGGCCTGAAGCAGTGCACACAGCCTGTAAGCTGAGGAATGTGAGCCCCACGGCGGCGCTGGACATGTGCCCGGAAGAGGCATGGTCGGGTAAGAAACCCAACCTGAGTCTCTTGCGGGTGTTCGGATGCTTGGCTTTTGCATACATACCGAAAGAAGAGCGGAAAAAATGGGACCAAAAGACAAAACTGTGTATTCTCGTTTGCTACTGCCAAGAGTCCAAGGCATACCGTCTAGTCCCACTTACAATTAGTGACGGAACGAGTATCGAGAAAGCAAGGAATGTGGAATTCGATGAGACTATCATGGCGTCGTCAGTCATGTGGCGAGATTCTCCGACAGGACCGATGCCTAAAGTAGCAGGTCCGGGGTCCGGGGTCCGGGTACCGTAGAGAGAGGACCGAAGCTTATCGTAACAGGTCGAAAGCCCATGCTTGAAGTAGCGAGCCAATGTGCTGGGTCAAGAGAACCCAAGTCCAGAGAGAGAGAGGTCCGAATGTTGGAAGGGAAAGACCAATGCATAACGTAGCGCGTCGAAATGTCGATATAGAGCCGAGAAAATGTTCTGGGTGTCCCGGAACGGCGATGGACGACGAGAGCGATATGACAGAGGCTAGGGATCCAGTGAGGTCGCCCCAGGGGAAGGGTAAGAAACCGGCTTGGATGGAAGACTACGTCTGTGCCTGTACGGAGAGCTCAACGTCGATTTACGATCCACCGGTGACAGCTCAAGGAGCGATGGCACGGGATGATGCACATCAGTGGACCGGCGATGGAAGCCGAAATGGGAGCCCATGAAAGAAATGGAACCTGGATCCTAGTAGATCGCCCTCTCTCGAAGAGAAGGTTGATTGCGTCGAAGTGGGTCTTCCAGCTCAAGAGGAACAGTGACGGCGGGGTCACGAAATATGAGGCTAGGTTGGTTGGCCGCAGCTGCGCGCAGACGAAAGGAATGGACTTCGATGAGACCTTCTCACCTGAGGTGAAAATCACGACCCTCCGAATTCTCTTCGCCCGAGCTGCGCAAGAAGGTTGGCACATCCATCAGCTGGATGTGGAGACTGCTTGCCTACACGGTACATTGCAGGGGGAGATTCTCATTCAGCAGCCACCTGTGTTTGAGGTTGGGGACCAAGTGTGTCTCTTGAAGAAATCCAAAGACCCCCTCATCATCGTACACTCTATCCGCGATCTCGGGATGATCATCTCCGCCGACTGCGAGTTCGGTGAACACATCTCAACCATCGTGACCTCTGCTGAATCCTTAGTGAATTGCATATTCCGTTGTTTCGCCGTCTCCCGAACTTCACTTGAGTCTGTATGAGTCTCCCGTCATGTCGAAACTTAGGTATCGTTCATCGGTGCGGCTTCCCCATAAAGCCAAATACAGAGACATGCTCGAACCTGTCCGAAGCTGTTTCCTACGACGACTGCGATGGCGCTGCCCTGCTATGTCGAGTCGTGTCTCTCTTTCCCCGGTCTTTGGAACCTTATCAGATCAGGACACAGGAGTTTTGAGCCGAATCGTCAGGCTGGGCCTAAGTGACCGGTTCTTCATTGTGTCTGCGAACGGGCTTCGCAGCCAATGCACCGTTACGTCTGAAGCAATAGCACGTTCGGAACTTATCACCGGTATGTGGCCTCGGAGGGTCTGTACCAAGATTGCTTCCAACCACTTCTACAGCCATCGACTGCCCTTCTACCTAGTGGAAGCGTCACTGTTACTGTTATGTATGACTGTATGACTAGTTGTTTATTCACACTATCGTGTCGTGTCATTAAGACTTTATAATATACAAGGCTTCACAAGGCATCTGGCGATGGCGATGTTTCTGCCTGTTCTGTCCTCCCGAGGTTTGCGAAGGGAGTTCTGTGTACACACGCTCCTGCGTGGTACCTGCCGAATGGCATCCCGCAGAGTTTGCATATGCATGTGACTTTCGGCGGGTGGTACCGCCTGTCTTGGCAGAAGTGGTGATGGAACCCGTGTACGCTGAATCTCGTAACAATGTGGCGCTTATTACAGCTCCCTATCTTCCAGTAGTCTTCGTTTATGGCTGGGGAGTTTAGAAACTCCGGGTGAATTTCTTCACACTTCCTCTGCTCCTCTGCTTCGGTTATTCTGACCGCTTCCGCAGATGTCAGCCCGAACGACTTCTGGAGGTCTGATGTGAAGTGCGGCGAGTTGCACATAAGAAAAACCAGTCGGTTCCTGGTGGAACGATGTACTCCGAGGACCCTCTTTAGAAATGAAGCCTTCAGAGAGTTGAGTCTGTTTAACTTTCGCGCTGAGAGGTGCTCCATATCAATTGGATTCCGTAACTGGCGATCGGCGCGAGTTTTAGATGGAATAGCTGCAATGCTGTTTCGACAGACAGTTTCTGAGGCGAAGGTATACTTGCGAAAGCGACCAGTGTCTTACGAGCTCTTTCGTTGACGTGTCTGGTGGAACATTCGCCGGTCGTTGCGAGGGTTATGCCGAGGTATGTAAAGTTGTTCACGTATTGTATCTCGGTTCGATTGAGGAAGAGCTGGTCCTCCTTGGCCCGGCGGCCGCCCCTCCTGGATTTTATTGCGACTGTCTTGGTCTTGTTGATGGAGAGGCCGAGCTCTTCAACGGCGTACATCGTGATTTTGACTAGCGGGTGTTTAGAAAGAAGGATATCTGGGAGTTTCCAGGAGAGGACTGAGCGAAGGGCGGGACTCAGATTCCAGCCCAGATTCGCTTCTGTCATGTAGGCATCTAGAAATCCCCCCCTTTGTAAATAAAGGCGTTTTGGAATCTTGAACCTTGAATCTTGAAGATTCAACATGGCAGAGTGCAGAGCGGCGACGACTCCCGCAGTCCGCAGATACGAGCGAGAAACTCATGGAAAGGTCTCAGCTAGAAGAAACAACCGACGCGCCATCCCGGGGAGCTGTTAGCCAACTTATCCATCTGTCCCAAACAACGCGCCCAGACATCTGCCATGCCGTCGGCGTCGTGAGCCAGTTTTGCTCCGACCCATCGAGTGCACACTGGAGAGCAGCAAAAAGAATCCTGAGATACCTCCCGTCGAAGCTTACTGTGACGCGGATTGGGGAGGTTGCTCGGATACCCGGAAATCCACCACGGGTTATGTGTTCCTCCTAGCGGGGGTTGCGTCTCATGGGCCAGTAGAAAACAGCCAACTGTAGCGCTCTCAACTACTGAGGCTGAGTACATGGGCTTATCAGCCGCGTGCCAAGAGGCAAGGTGGATCCTCAACTTCGCCAACCTCCTAGCGATGCCGATAGGGCGACCGATGGTCTTTTGTGCGACAACCGAGCAGCTATCCTGCTCAGTGCTAACTGTATCCAACACCGAAGAACAAAACACATAGACTTGAGGCATCATTACATCAGAGCAATGATTGAGGAGGGTCAAATCGTTGTTCGCTTCGTGTCCACCGTCGAGATGATCGCCGACGTCATGACGAAGAATTTAGGAGCGATCAAGTTCATGGAACGCCGAAACAAGCTAGGGTTGATTGAGCTGGCGGAGGAACGATCGCGGATCATGCGCAAGGGAGGGTGTTAGGATCTGTGCGCATGACTCACCTCGTCATTCTCTATTCTACAACTCAGAAGATGGGGGCTCCTCAATAAAGCATTCAGATCGTTTTTCGCCACTGCGCATACAGACGTGTTCTTCTTCGCTCCGTAACCTAACAATTCAAGGATCGCTTGTTCTTTCCGGAGCCCGGAAATCCTACCCTCCAAATCATATAATAAATCAGATGCCGGGAATAAGGCTCCCTCTGAGGGTTACTCATCCAGGGCTGGTCTTTCGTCGCGGGCGGCCACGAGAGCCGTGATTTTCCGCAGCACATCCCCGTAGAGAGCCAATGGTAACAGAAAAATGCCGCGACTTTCGGGCTGAAATGCCGCGACGAAAGTCCAGCCCGGAAGTGATGAGTGATGAATCATCACTCATCACCGACGATCAATAGTCTTCCGAAGATCATGCTGAAAGGGGTTCCACGACACACCGGAAAGATACGTCGACGCTTCCTAGGCATCCGGCTCCAGATGCGAGTCTTTATTTTAGTCGTGACAAGTAGCTGCCCGGGGCTATGAAAACCTTTCGCGAACTGCACTCCAAACGGTTTGCTGTGGTGGTTGGTGCTCGTCCCGTAAGTCCTCGATGGCCTTCTTACACTGTAAGGTTGAACTTCAATAATCGTATCATGATCGAAGCCGTAAACCCGCTTCCTCTCGAAAGCGGAAGCGGCCGTCGACCATGTTCCGGTCTTACCCTCAGTGCGAAACTCTCCGGCTCCTCATCAGGTTCGCAGTACATTGGCTTGCCCAAATACGTTCGCAGTTTCACAGGGAAGTATGCCATGGGTATGCTGAGCGGAATTCTCGTGGCAGCGTACCATTTCTTAACGGTTTCTGTAACGGAACAATATCATCTATGTATTACGACGGATGAACCTCGCTGTTGACGGAATCGGGAAGTTAATTCCTTCGAACGCTGTGGAGCGCAAGGAATTCTCGTCGGATGCTCCGCTATTTTTCACCCTCTCCGCCTCGAGGAGCGTGGTCAATCCGATCCAGAGGAAGAAGAAGGAGCACCTGATTTATTAAACTCGTAAAGGGGCATCGAATGTTGAATGTTCGCTGTGAACATCGGGACGATCGGGACTCCTGTCTCTTTGGCTACTCTCGCGAAACCGCAACGTGATTGCCATTCCACCCTATAAATCGCAATCGATCGAAAAATAAGCGAATCTCGCATCGGCCTTCGAGATAACGATGGTCATGATTATCAGGGATCTGCTCACTTGTAGTTCTTGCTGAACATGCTTTCATAAGCGCCTCCTGGGGCCACACAAGTCCAATCGCCGTCTCTGAGAGATTTTTCGACCTCCTCTTTGTCACTGCTCCAGCCCACCAGCTGAAACGCACCAGCAGAATTCGATAGAGAACATTCGCGCCATTTTGTATGGCGAGCTCGGACGGCATGAGGTCTTAAGTTCTTTCACCTCGAGAGGCCGTTTGAAGCGCATCCTCTGCCAACTTCTATCAATGCAGCCCCGGAGCAAACGTCCTTTTTTCAGATTGACGTAAGCCGCTAAAAATAATATGTCGGTGGGGACGACGGGCCCATGAAAGAAAACCACTACGGCACCCTGGTCCTCCGGCAGATTCTCGAATCCATGTACTTCGATTCCTGAAGCGAGAAGAAGAAATCTCCACGACGTTCTGTAGCATTTCGATGGTCCTTCCACGAGATCGGCGGGACTGACTTGGTCCCACCGATCCCCAAATCCTCGACTTACCGTGCAGGAACGAGTAGAAGATATAAATGGCGTAGGACAGGGCTTTCCTGAAGATCCTCCTGACGGTCTCTGAACACCTCTCTCCGGTGATGAAACAGAAGGCCGCGCAACTCCCAAAAAACGCGTACAAAAACAGTGCTTCCAGCGTTGCCGGCGCAAGCATTATCTTCCGGTGGAAAAGAGGGAGAGCTCTCGCTGAAGCTTCATCCAGGATTCGGTTCTCCATCGCCAGGCAGTCATTACCATTAACCATCATGAGTTTAATGTGAACTTACGAAGATCGGTCGCAACCACCAGATTCCCCACAGGTACCACACGAGCACCGGGTGAATACAAACCAGGACCAAGTACAAACCCACGGCTATCTGGATCGCGTAGCATTTGAGCTTCTCGACCATCCGGACCCTCCCCATGGTGGTGGATAAACCGACAGCGATTCTCCTGAAGAGACTTTGAGTCATTGAGGGAGCGCGGAATTGCAATCGATCGAGTAAAATTACTTCGAGCTCAGATCGATTGTGATCCTCCCCGAGCAGAACAGAGAAAAGCGGTACGGCTCCATGCCACAGCTTCGTGGCTTCTATGACGCGAACACACTTGCATGTTGTCAGGATATTCGACCACTTGTAGTCTCGGATTACTCGGCAAATACAGATGATTCGCTAATAATTCCTTATTCGATCACTTCATGGCGCACATTATCAGATTCGACGGAATGTCAGAGGTCTGTGACGCTCCGACGAAGCTCAAAGACGCGAATGAGTCAACAGAGAATGACTCTATTTCATTTCGAAAGGTTTCGAGGTCTCGAATCAGACATTTCTCGATCACGCTTCGACAGCTGTCTCCGGGCGTTGGGCACTAGATTCCAAGACCGGGCGCTTCTCCAAGTCCCGTGAAGCGGAAGAGGGTTGAACGTCGAATCATCCCGGGGCATTGCTTGAGCTCCGTCACATCAGCATTCCGGCTGCACGGCCACCAATGAATTGTCGGGGGGTACGAAGCTGAATATCGGATTTTGAGGAAGAACAAGCATAGCCATGCTCACCTGTGCACTTTTGGAAGACTGGCGAAAGGTTATTCACGTAACCGCGAGAGAGTATCAAATCGGTTTCCTCGATCAAGGGAAGGAGAGGGTCAATCAAGATACTTTTCGCCTTTCAGCATCTGCCGCCAAAGATTCGAACGATCGGTGCCGAATCATCCCTCGCGCCGGGTAATCCGAGGCGAGTAGTCCGGCGCCGAATCGTCAGGTTCCCGCGCGGACATTGCTTCTTTTCAAGAGAAAGATATCCTTTCCCATCGCGAGTCCACCGATGCCAAGGGGGATTTTCCCCCGTGCCGAAGCCCCACAGGGAAGTTTTTACGAATGGGCTCAGAACGAAGCGCTTCCTCTGTATTGAGCGGCTACTCAAGCGATGCTCAATACGGTGCTTTGAAATGAGAAATTATCCTCTGGCTGTGCCAGGCGGAAGTCTGGTTAGAGCGACAAGAAATTATGAAAGATGAGGAAGACTCTGGTTTCGATAGATAGGGGATCAAGACGCGCCAAAGATCTCCTCCAATCAAATTGCCTATTTATTCGCCCTAACTAAAATGATTATTACCCCGGATTATCATTATCTCGACTGAGTGAGCAAATCGTGATTCCTCTTGCTGCATTGAACTGGTCGAAAAGAATCCGACTTGCGATCATGAATCGACCCTCCAACCGAAATTAATAACGATAAAAAGTCTAGTGTCTAAGCGCCGGATTCGATGTATCGGTATATCCCCCTATTATCCCCCTATCCCCCTATATAATAAAAGCGCTGTGTCCGTCCGTCCGTTCGCGACTTTTCGACGCTTTCCGTCCCTAATTCCGCTTCCAAACAGGCTCATCGGATGCGGGATGATACATGATGATTAGGGCTCGACTTTCGGCGCGGTAATCGCGGTCGCGACAAATACCGCGATTTTCTTAATTTTTTCGACTTGAGCGCGATTTTCTCGATTTTTCCGAGGGAACCGCGATTTTCTCCATTTTCTCGAGGATACCATGATTATCTCCGCCGTGAATTCATTCAGACCCTCTAGTACTCTCCCCGTGGAAACGTAATGATCCTGCCCGCGAGAGGGGGAACTCGTGTGTAGAGAGTGTACCCTGGTTCGAGGATGACGACCAGGCGACAGCTGAACTTCGAGCATATCTGGCGGCTTCGAATGAACTAGTCCCTTCTTCGCCACCTTCAACTTTCTGGATCAGAGCATCGGTACGATTCCCGAAGCTCTCTCAAATCGCTCTCATGTGCTTGAGCGTTCCCATCAATAGTGTCGCAGCAGAGCGATCTTTTAGTCAGTACGCAGATGTTCTGAGCGATGATCGGCGCTCTATCAAAGTCAGCTCATGTCTCTCCGATGCGAAGATTTTCTTGAATAACTTTTTCCAGCAGAGAATCGCGCTCTGAATGTCTACATCTACCGCACGTAAGCCAGAAAATCGCGGCACCGCGATTTTTCGAAGGAGAAGCCGCGCCCTCGCCGCGATTTTTGGCCTAAAATGCCGCGCCAAAAGTCGAGCCCTAATGATGATATATATATATCGTATATTTATACGTATATATACGGAGGAGAAGACATTATTTGTTTCATTGCTTATTAGGACTGTTTCACTAATGAAAGGGAGAATTGATCAAGTCGAATAACCATCATCCGAATGACGTCATCCGAAGCATTTCAGTCTAGGCGGATATTCATGAAGAAGTTTCCTTTCTTTCAGCATTTACACCGTAAACGTCTAGTAGAACCTCGAAAGAAGGCCAACTTGCACACCGCGGTATCATCCCGCATCCGATGAGCCTGTTTGGAAGCGGAATTAAGGGAGGGAAAGCGTCGAAAAGTCGCGAACGGACGGACGGACACAGCGCTTTTATTATTATGTATATATATATATATATATAATATATATATATATATATAGATATATATAGATATATATACGTATATGTATATACCGTATATATATATACCGTATATACGACGCACGCGGCCGAAGGCCGCGCCGACGGCTGGTAGGTATATATTCCCCCTATCTGGAGTATTTGCTGCCTATGCTAGAGTCCGAATACCGCTCTGGGAGCATCTCTGAGCTCCAATCGGTCATTGAGCTCAATCCGTCATGCAGCGATTATCGAGCCTCACAGTGTCTTTGGGGAATTCGCGCTAGATAGAATTACGCGCTGATTGTGACGAACACATTCCTGAATCAGAGGAGATATGAGGCCGGGGCGAGCATTTTGTGCCGGAGGCGAGGAACAAGTGGGAATACAAGCTCGGCCAAGAACATTCGGAACAAAGCATCGTCTCAAGAAAAACGTCGAAGGTCGAAGGATTCAGAATGAAGTAACGAGAATCGGCTGCAACCAGAAGATGCTCAACAGAAAGAACACGGAAGCGAATGAAGTAGAAGCATGGTCAAGCATGCACCCGCGACGGTTTTCAGCGCGGAGCATCTGAGCTCCTGTTTTTTGGGCCTCATCCATGGCGTAGCGAAAGTCGCCCCATCTCGACGGCCGAACTTCAACGACTCATTACGAGACTAGGCTATCATAAGAAGTGATACGACGAGAGTAAGAGTTCCGTTCTTCAATCCGGCGATTTCTCCTGACCCGTTCTCCACTCTCTCGATCTCCCTTCCCTCTTGATCAAAACATCGAATCATCCAGGCCATCGCTCTCGAGATGTTCCTCTATCGATCGTGTACTCTGAGAACAGGCGATTCGTTTCTGTCTTCCTTTTCTGGACTAAATCACTTACTTTGGACTGGGAGCTTAAAAAAGAATGAGAGAGTGAGTGAACTTGGGCTGAAGGGAAGAGTTGACGAGAATTCTGCACGACTAGCTGAAATCGAAGTCGACCGCTGTCTGGCGCAAAATCGATGAGGTCCTGCGGAGCGAGATCGTACGGGAGGATGCACACTGAGTAGAGCCATCGAGAGTCCAAAGAGCATCTCACGAGCGTTGAGCGAAATGCTTTTGGTGTTCCAGAAAAGGGCAGGGTGGGATTGAGCTCTTTTGCTGATTGTTGCGTCCGACGAAGCCGGCAATGGCGAGAAGCCGGGCGGGTATATCAGGTCGTCGACTCTCACCGTACAGCTCGATGGAGCATACTATGGCGAGGTTGTCCAACGGTCGCAAGAGCATTCGTTCTCCCGATCGCGACAGACCCGCTTTGTGGACGGCGATGATTCTTCTCTCGGCAATATCGCATACTAGCGGCAGTTACATCGATATTACCAGTGCAGCATCAGCTAATTCTGTGCCATCGGCAGTATACCGGCTACGGGGCAAGAGCAAATGAGGAAATCTGACAGTTTTCCGGGAATACCAAATCGAAGAATATATACTTCCCGAAATATTCTGCGTGGGGAGACGACGCCGTTAGCGGGAAAAAATCTCCTTTCGGGCCTCTCGGCTGCTTCCTTCCGAAATGATCCGAAAAAGAAAAAAAGTTTAGGTCGGGAGGAACTGCGCCGGAGCGAGATCGGCCGCTACTTGTGCAGCCTCGTCTGGATTCGGATTCGGAATGACCCGTAATGAAGTGTTC